TCTCTCTCTCTCTCTCTCTCTCTCTCTCTCTCTCTCTCTCTCTCTCTCTCTTGGTTTGCCTCCGGAGTGATTAATAATTTCACCCTCTTCCTTTACAGGTTGATAGAAAGTTGGAGAGACTTATGTTATGGTCATCTCGGCTGAGTTAGGTGATGAATGCCACCTTAAGACATTTGACTGTAAGGCAATTTCTTGTTTTCGTTGCTTTTTATTCATAAATGTTCTACGGTTGAAGGAATATAAGTTAGATCTAAATACAAGTTTGATTATTGGTCACTACTGTATCTATTGTAAAGAGATATTATAATGATTAGTAATGGAGAGGCGACATTAGTCCTATCTCTGAAATTAAATAGACAAGAACGGTTAACATTCAGCATGCTTCGTTCACCGACTGGCATTTCTACCCTGCTCATTGTTGATAATTTTTCTTTAAAAACACGATTGTTAACATTTGAAGTACGATATTGAGCAGCAATTTATTTGTTAATATCAATAAAGATACAGCAAATACATATGCGTGATGCATGAAATTGGCTACAAACAGTAGCTTCTGTAACCCTTTCCCCACCGGCTGGGTGTAATACACCCACCTGACCACTTAGTAAGGACATAACTCCGAAAGCGTTCAATTCACACACTTGCGCTTCTATGTAATCCTCAAATGTGGTGTATTTAACGCTGTGATCTATCAGAAATGTTCATATATATATATGATAAATGTGTGGGAAATGACCACGGGTCAAACATTTTTATGTCGATTCCTACCGGGTGGGTGTTGCCACCCATACACGTTTTTATATATAAGGCTGGTTGGTTCTCACCCGTTCACTTTCTATAGACTCTGTAGAGAGAAAGATCAGTCAGGTTCATGTGTGAATCAGTCCCAACTAACAAGTGTCAAACATGTAATATGAAAACGGTTATAGAGGCATGAAATAAATTGAAAGAACTTTTAATTTTCAACAGAAACTTGAAACATGAACAGGAATAAGGAGACAAGCTGATGTCAAGGTGCGAGCGGTGTGATTGCCACGCCACTTGTTGTTCTTGCACCAGCACAAAGAATGAAAGATTCAAAAGAAAATGGGGTTATTCAAAACACAGAAAAACTGAGTGGTCCTTACAAATGTGGCAATCGTACTTCTGGCGTCGAGACTTTGTCTTCCGAACCTTTTTGGCCAGGAACAGTACACGTCTCTTTTGCTTTTGAGATTCAGGAGACTCGTCATTTGGCTTGGACCTCTTCCTTTGACTTTGGATTAGAACAGACTACACTTTACTGGGTGTCAGAGTCGGAGACTGAAGCACTGTCTCGGTGTTTTGTTTGATTGGTAAATTGAGTGTAGAGACAGTGTTGAGCGCCATATGATCTGCTGAACAACCAGTTGTCTTGGCACAGCCATGTTGTAGAGCTGCCTGTTGTCTGCGAGTGAAAGTGTATCATTTGGGGAACTTAGCTTGCCAAATGCACGTGAGTCAATGGAACTGAGGTCGATGATGTTGAAAAAGACCACAAGGGGCCATCTGTTTGTCTTACGTTTCACAGC